CACTGAGCAGGGAGTGGTGCACTGCACGGAGAGTCGCTCAGCACGTGTCCTGTCCCTACCCTGTGGTGAGGCTGGGAGAATGACAGCGGACGCGGCCACCGCTCTGCCCCACTCCCTTGCCCTGCTTGGTGGGGGGCAGTCGAGCATTTTGAGAAGCTTCCCAGGCCCACCCTGGGCAGGAGCCGAGGGGTCAGGGCACTGCTGGTCCACCGGTGAGCAGAAAGGAGCCCCACTGTAGTGCCTGCCGATTCCCATGGTGTAAACACTCCTGCCGTGGAGGATTCCCAGCTCCCAACATGACGCCCACTGGCCACAGAAAAGCCCCGGAAACTCAGGGCCAGTGGTGGGTGGCCGTAGTGCGACTGGACCTCTTAGGAAAGGTCCTCCTTTGTGTTTGTGTCTCAGGGCCTCCTAAGCACGCCAGGCGCACACACGTGTGACTGGGGTGAACTGTGGCATGAAGACCAGGGCACCTCTCTCTGTGTCTCATGGAAGGAATAGATGAAGAAACCACAATGTGTTCTTTTCTGGAAATGCAACAGTCCACTCTGGGAGCTGGTGTAAATATGGGGTACGGGAGACCCCCCTGTGGGCCGGAGCAAGCTCCCAGGGTGTGGGACTTCCTGACGCTGGGTAGCAAGTACCAGGATTGGTGTCAGACACACGGACGTGCCCGCGTTCTAAACCTAGCTCTGCACCTCCTAGCTGGGCTCCTCAGGCTGTCACCTCTCTGACCTCCGTTTCCTCCCCTCCCCACTTAGGCCATCCGTAGCTAAAGACAAAATGTGAACCAGACCCCAGTCACATGTGGCTCGATAGGGAACGTGCGCCAAGGTGGGGGGCCGGTCTTGGCGGTGGGGGAGGTATGTGGGAAGGCCGGGGTCTTTCCTTCTAGGAGGAGGGCCGCTGGGCAGTGGGGTCCCTGGAATGCTCGCCCTGATGCTGCCCTGGCCAACGAGCAACGTGTGAAACCGTAGCAGCAGAGATGTAGGTTAGATACATGGGAGAACTTTCCGACTGCCCATGGAAGACGCGAGGCCAGAGTCGCAAGGGATATGGTGACATTTTTCCAATCTAGAGACGGCTGGAAAAAGGAGCAGACAGCCAGGGTTCCGGACTGGGCTCATCACAGCCCAGTCAGAGGTGGGCCATGGACTGAGGGTGACAGCGGCCTTTGATGCCAGCAGTCCGTCCTCATATGAACTGCTCTTTATCACTCCTGCTCAAAACTCTCTCACGGCTCCCGGCGGCTCTGGGCCAATGGCACGAGGAAAGCCTTTTCTGGGATTACCAAGGCCCCTTGGGACCTATACTCTGCTGGCCTTCCCGGCCTCACCAGGAGTCGCAGCTCAGCCACTGGGCTTTCCTTTCTGGATTTGCGGAGTCCTCCATGCGTCCCGGCCTTCGCCCACGCTGTTCCCTCAGCCTCGGACACCCTCTCCCCTGTTCCCCTTCACCTGCCTCAGCCTGGCCCTTAGCTCTCAGTGCCTCCCCCATGGCTGGGTCAGGTACCCCGACGCCTTCCCGTGACTTCAGTGCAGACTGTCACAGCTCACGGTGCTCTCGACCTCCCGCGGTCACAGCTGTGTGGTAGCTCTCGGCCTCCCCGGACCCGGGGTCCCTGGGGGCAGCTCTCTGCCTCTCTTGTTGGGCCTGTCTCTCCGTGCTCAGCAGGGCTGTATGGAGGAAATGAGACAGCCGGGGACGGGCGAGAGAGCTTCCCCCTGCTCCAGGGCACGGGGACCTGGGTTCACGTCCCACTCCTGCCACTGGCCCCATGCAGGTCCTCTGCGGTCCTGGAGCCCTGGTGTGCTCGTCTGTGACAGGTGGCCGGCCGTAGGTCAGCACTCACTAGGTGTCCCCGCCAGGCTAACTCTCCTGTCTTCTTGCAGGTGACGGCCATGTCGGTGAGGGTGCGGTTCCTGTCCCCTGGGGACACGGGGGCCGTGGGGGCTGTGGGCCGCAGCGCCTCCTTTGCAGGCTTCAGCAGCGCCCAGAGCCGGCGGATCGCGTAAGTCCTGCCCTTGGGGAAGATGCGGGACCTGTCTGAGGGCGGGAGAGGGGGCCCTGTCCATGCCCTCAGTGGTCCTGAGACCTGGGAAGAGTGTGCATGTGCACGTGTGCGCACACACATATATGCTCTGTGTGAGTGTGGTCCTGAGACCTGGGAAGAGTGTGCATGTGTATGTGCACTGTGAGCGCATACATGTGTATGTACGTGTGTATATATATATGTGTGTGTGTGCATACATGCCTATGTGCATGGGTGTGTGCCTTTTGGTGTTGGGAGGAACCGGTCATTTCCTTGAAACCAGAACAGCCATCACTTCGAACGCCCTGAAATAGAAGCTGCCTAAACCTACCTGGCCCCGAGGGTGGAGCCGCTCACCTAAGGTCACACGGCAAGACCAGTTTGGAGCTGGGACAGTTTCCTAGGGGCAGGTTAGGGAGGAACGTTCTTCCTGTTTGCTGGACGGAGCAGTGGGGCCACCTATCTCTGCTCCATGACCTAGGACGAGTGACTTCACCTTTCTGAGCCTGTTTCTCATCTGAAAAATGGGGATCATGAGTGTCCCCAACAGGGGGTCACGATGTACAAGGAGGTGAACGTGGCTAGCTCACTGTAGGTGTTTGTGTGGGGGACGGGTGGGAGCAGCCCCTGACGAGGGACCAGCCTCTGTGGAGATGTACCTGGGGTCAGTACCAACTCTCTGGCCGTGAGTTCGAGGGACGTGCTGACCATGCTGCCTAGGCCTGCCACTCCGCTCTGTGTGTCTTGCTCCTGGGGGCCGATGGGCCCATGCCCACCTGTCCCTGGCTCAGTCAGGGCCTCATGTCTGTCGGACCACACGCGAGCCCTGGGAGCTGCCTACCAGCCAGCAGGCTGGGGGGCCGGGCAGCTTTTGGGAACCCGCAGGGGCCAACCGCAGCTCACCTGCACAGATGGTCACAGCTGGGGTGCCCAGCCGGAGCAGGGTGCAGAAACAAGGCGGCCAGTGAGTCGGTCAACAAGATCCCATCATGCTGCGCGGCTTGCTTGGAACTGCCCACAGGCTCCCCTCCTAGTGAAGTGGCCGAAGCCCCCCCCAACGGCCTTGAGGCCTCTGGGACCCAGCCTGGCAGCCGACTCCTTCCCCCATGCCGTAGCCATGCGGGCCCTCATCCCCAGGCCTTAGCTTGGTGTGCCCACCCCCGGGCTCCTGCCCACCCCCATCACCAGTGGGTCCTGCCTATCTCCTCCAAGCCTCGGCTTCATGCCACACCTGAGATAAGGACCCTCGAGCCCCAGGCCCGCCCCTGAGCTCTTCCGGAGGGTGTAAGCCAGCGGGACAGACCCACTTTGGGGGCGGCTGAGGTCAGGCCCTGCACCCGCTCACCTGGTCCCGCCTGCCCCACTGCAAGCTGTGCCAAGGGGCAGCGGCCTTCATGGCGGAGATCCCGAGTGACCTGCTGGAAGCTGCCTTCGTCCCCTGTTCACCTGTGACTGTTTATTGGCCAGGCCCTGGCCCAGTCTCTGAGAACAGGCCAGGCCCCTCCCAGGCTGCAGACCTGGGAGGGGGACAGACAATAACCCAGCAGTAGTCAAGCCCAGCTAGTGGTAAGAGCCAGAAGGACCCACTCTGGGGGCCAGGGTGGAGTGGCGTCTCAAGGGCGAGCACAGTGAGGCGGGGAAGGTATTAAGCCAAGGCCTGAAGGGACAGACGAGTGTGGGTGGGCTAGCCCTCCAAAAGGAGGGGACAGTGTGTGCTGAGGCCCTGGGGAGGGGATGAGCTGAGGAGGGAGGCAGGCATGTGGCTGGCGAGTGGGGGAGTGATCAGAGAAGGGCCCTGCAGGGCCTCGCGGGCTGCATGGAGGAGCGGGGACGCATTCGCAGTGGGGGAACCGCTGGGGCCCCAGGATGGGAAATTTGCCAAGCCCCTGAGCGAAGAGTGCCAGCGCCCGACTCCACGCCTTGGAGAGGAGGCAGCGTGGCTACCAGAAAGCGAGGGAGGCTGGCGGCAGGCGCCCATAAATGCTGCAGAGGGGAAGCGAGGGCAAACCCGCCAGGAGAGGGCGCCCTTCCTGGACGTGGCCATCCCTGAGCTGCCTCCTGCGGCTTCCCCAGGGCGCCACCCCCATGGTCTGTGACCAGGGCCGGGAAGGTCAGTGTGCAGGGGCCACTAGCCCTGGGGCCCCTCCCAGCTGGGTGCCCTGGTGCGGGGCACTGTGGGGACGCTGTGTGGCCCAGCAGTGGGGAAGGGGCTGCAGACCCTGAAGCAAGGCCTGCACCACGACCATGCAACCCAACCTGCACCTGGGCCGCCGTCATCACCTGGCACCTCCGAGCACGGCCTTTTTTTATTTTAAGAGAAATTTTTTTTAAACTAGAATTATTTATTTAATTTTATTTATTCATTCATTTATTTTAATTTGACTAGAGAGAGACACAGAGAGAGAGGAGAGAGAGAGAGAGAAGGAAAGTGAGAAAGCAAGCCACCAGGTCCAAGGATTCGAACTGTGGTTGGCCATGTGGGAGTGTCCAGTGCCTTAACCACCACGCCACCTGCTGGTTCCTAAGAGATTTTTGCTATAGGGCACGTACGCCTCCCAAAGAGACAGAAAGCGAGAAATCCTCCCCGCAAGGGGGGTGGCCACGCCACAATTCCTTCTCCTCCATTTCCCTTCTGAGATCTTAGGCACTCAGGCACACGCATAAGACACTGGGCCAGGACTCGAACTGTGGTCGACTCTGGGAGTCCAGTGACATAATCACCACGCCGCCCGCTGGTCCCAAGCACGATGGTTTTAAACCAAGGGCCTTGGTCTCCTTCTGCAGACCCTGTGAACTCTGGGGTTGGGTGGCTCTTTTCTTGCCGGGCCTTGGGGGCCTCCGAACTCCTGCATTGGTGGGAAATGCTGCTCAGGGCCTCATCAGTGCTCTGGCCAGCGAGTGCCCTGGGTGGGCCTCCACTCCTGCCCTCTCCAGCTCCTCGGGGTTCCTAGGTTGGCACTCTGGGTGGGAAGGACAGAGGTGGCCCAGCCCCGTGATGCTAGGGCTTATTGGCCATCAGCCAGCGTCCCACCATGTCTGCTTCCTAGTCCAGGGAAGATGGCCCTGGTGGCTGTAAGTATCCTGGACCCCTGCTGGGGCCCTGCCCGAGGGGCATGCCGAGGGC